GCGAAAATGGAGGTCGTGTAGGTCATGAGAGGTCGTATGCAGACCTTATATAGGGTTCGCTTGTTGCGGAGGGACATTTTACTGTGTCTGACCAACATGCTGTTGAGCCTATGTAAAATCGTGCGGTGCGAGTAACCTTCTTGATATGGGGTTCGAAAGTGAGCCTTGCATCAAGGGTGACGCCTAAATATTTGGCTGTAGTTTGCCATGCGACAGGGGTTCCTAACATCCTGATTGGCGGAGTGGTGGGAGACGGCGTCGTATATTCGAACAAACGGGCCTTCCCGGGTTTACGTCGATACGCCATTTTTGGAACCAAGCTCCTAAGTGGAACCAAGCTCCTAAGCATAGTTAGTTCGTGCTTCGTTTGCAAGGGAAGATTATATTAGATTTTAAAGCGCAAACTTTTAAAAGTATCGTTGAATCGGCCATAAAAATATCGTTGATGCCGATATATCGGTGAACTTCGTGTATCGCCGATATATCGGTATCGGTATCGGATGCAGCCCTAGCTTAAATAAATAAAAAAAGCTAATTTTAAAAAAAATTGATAAATTTTCGCCTAGGACGTCCCTTTCCGATTCTGCCATTTACTTCTGCAACATAAATTTTCTTTGCCACTCTTTTCTCATTCATTCTTTCCACATGACCAAACCACCGAAGCATTCCTTTCTTAATCCTGGTCACAACATCATCTTGCAAACCACACTCTTTTCTTATCACACAATTTCTCACCCTGTCATTCAGATTCAGCCCTAACATACTCCTTAACGACCGCATTTCTACTGCGTTCATTCTACTCTCGTGCTTCTTCTGCCACACTCAACTTTCAGTGCACTTTTATTTAAGTATTCAAATGTAAAATTTTAAAAACAAACATAAAATATGTTTAACGAACAGATTTTATAATGTTAAATATTATATACATTAAATAAGTATCAGCCAAGATTTCCTATTTTATAACAACTAACAGGCCTTACATGTTTGTAAACTGAAGTAGCAATGAGACGGTCATGTCTGTCGCAGAAGCGATAACCGGTGGAGTGGAAGGGTTATGGAGTTGAGACCGCGTCTAGACAAGCGTAGTGTGGGACGCCCCCTGACCAGATGGAGCGGCGATCTGAGCAAAGTAGAAACTGGATGCATGTAGCCGAAGATCGGGCGGGCGATACGCCATGGAAAGGCCTGTGTTCGGAAGTAGACTACCACAAGCTGATGGTAATGATTATGATGCTGTTACACTATAGTCCGCTTTTTATTGACAATGGTGATGATGAAGCATGTTCTTATACAACAGATATATGTTAGTAAATTGAACTAAACTTATCTTTTAATTTTGATAACCAAATCCGATGGTCCTACACACTAAATCAAATTCTAAATTCTCATGACACCGGATATCAAAAAACTCTGGAATTTCTCACTCGTTATAAAAAAAGAGTGCGATTGTCGGGCGATAGACGTTGCAAAGGTTTTTGTATAAGAAACAGTTTGCTTAATTTGATAAATAAATAAATCAGGAATTATTAATAAAATTCTGGTGTATTATAAATATTCATTATTTACACCTTCGTAAATAAAATTCTAGATTAAGTTTACTCAAGTTTGCAATGATAAATTGCAAACTTGAGCAAACGTATTCCAGAATTGAAAAAATCTACCGATATTAAAGAAATAATAATTATAATATTTTATACATTTATATGGTAAAGGTTATATTTATTATTACTTTTTACAATAATATGTATTACAATACCTATTTCATTTTCCTTCAATACTTTAGTTTAACATAGGAACGCCCGCCAAACAACAGACAAAGTAAAAAAGAGTAAAACATAATTCGATGTTCAGCCGAATTTTATGTAAGCACATAATTTTCTTTTTTTGTTATAAAAAGTTAATAAGCCCAAAGCATTAACTTTACGAGCAACAAAACTTGTTCCATTGTGTATCCAGTTTCAAATTATCCAAGCGATTCATTCTCTCGTGCGGGTTTTAATCTTTTCGGAGGAAGTATTTTATTAACAGGTTACTGTATCTCTATGAGTAGCTTCTGATTCACCTCTGTACAACGTAAACATTTTAACTGGAACTAATTTTGAATGCTCTTGTTATTTAATATATATTATTGGAATCGATATATAAATAGACATGTTGGTGTTCCTTTTTTTTAGTTTATTATAATACTTAATATTTTTTATATTTATTCTATTTTCATTAATTTTGAAATATGTACATCATTTTGTGGAAATTTATAGTACTACGATATTCTGGTTGAAATTTTCAATTACGTTTTAATTTTAAGTTATGTTTGAAAACTACAGAATTAGCTCAACATTTTACGTGACGGATTCAAAAAATCTTATCTTATTTTAAGGTAATAAACTAATAAGCACACGTTAATAAGAAAATTATAATTCAGTCTTATCGGTGTAGTAATTCTGATATAATATTATGTAATATTATATTAAATAAGCATATATAATATATAAAATGAATGACAAAATTAAAAAAATGTACTCGATATAATTTACCTATTTAACGATACAATCTACTATTACCTACTGATCATTCTACCTATGTATAATCTATGATGAAAAACCAACCGCGCGAACACAGAGTACTTAGCCCACACATTTTTTGTTTGAAGTAGCTGTTCTAGTACGTAAGTACATAATATTACTTCAATGACCTACATATTTAATCAAATTTTGTTTTTATTATTGTGTTCATCACCCATATGCAATATTTCTAAGAATTGGTAGGTTACATTATTTGTAGGTCTTCGGGGTGAGACCGCCTAGCAATATTGTAATAACAAGGTGTATTTTTTAATACGGGTGTCGACGTTATGTCCATCTGGGCAACTAGGAATATCTAACTGTAAACTGTTGGCTAGATTACAATAATATATGCCTAATTCCAATATTCTATCATCGCTTTATTTCTATTATTTAATATTTCAAATGGTTACTACTCTATCGTTATGTAATCATCGATTATTACTGATCTGTTGGCCGGAGCTACCGATATGAGTTCATAATTTTATTTTATAAGGTAATTTTAGTCAAAGATGTATGTTCCGGCGCAAAGTATGGATTGCTCTGCACGTAATGACCCCTTGTGGCTCAAGAGCGGATATCCTCCGCATATGTTTTAGACGAAACAAAAAGGAGACCGTTTTTTATCATGAAGCTACCGTTTACCGGTTTTTGCCCATGATTCTCATTCGTGTGTTGTAAATTACTCATGTTACGGAGAAAATGTTTTACGAAATTACCGATCTGCAATCATTAATACATCAATACAATAAAATATATGTATATGTGCTAATCCTATTATTTCGAATACATCAACACTAGAGGCATGGTAGCTCAGGGGCTAGACGCTCGATATAAATTTCACAGTAATCTAGTAACTCGAGTTCGATTCCTGCCGGCACCAATAAATTATTAATTGTAATTTAAGTGCTGAATTACCACGTGGTCGGCGGTGAAGAAAAACATCGTGGGGCAGGTTTCGCATGTCAAAGAAATTAGAAAAAAATATTATTTTGCATACATGTGAAGTTCGCTAACACGCATTGGGACATCGTTTCCTTGTTCTAAAACACTCAGAAAAAGGAGGTCTGTGCTCAGCTGTGGGACGTATATAGGCTGCAACTTTAACTGTTAACACTTGGTAAACATCTTATCTCACATTAACAGATTATATTTTAGATATTTAACTCAACATGTAGTAAAAACAACAAATAGTCTAGTAGTTTCAAGTTCTTGTTTGTATTCACTCATACAAACACGAACTTGAAACTTCTTCTACTTAGAAAATGGGAGCCTACTTAGATCAATGAGGCAATAGGGTGACATACGAGCACACAGTCCACCTGATGGTAAGTGGTTGCTGTGGCCCATAGACATCTACATCTATCCTTGATTACAAATAAAAATGCAGATGCGTAGTTGCGTGAAGACTAAGATGGAATGCATCGTTTCCAGTAAAAAGGGTCTCCTATTTTCTACATTCACCATACGAAACACAGCAGCATTAAGCTACTATTTGACGCTGGTATTCTGTGAGAGCGTGGTCCTTCCCCAGACTCGACCCATTCGTGCTACAACTATACTACTAATAAAACTGCAGCATGGCTCTACCACGTATTACCTTAACACATATTAGTAGCATAACTACTTGTTCTAGCGAATACTCTATTCTTTTATAATTGTCGATAAAGCAAGATCGATTTAATAATATCTGGGTTTTTCCTTTCCTTAGCAGCCCCGGGAGCATGGCCCCTTGGCAGTTTAACCGCTGCTTAAATCGTTGTTGATGTTGAATGATTGCTGAGATTTCGCTTAATGACGGCCTCGGCGGCTTCCAACTGACAAGATCCTCCTACAGCTTCGAGTGGGTCAGACCCGTGTTTTTTTTGCCTTATTTGCCTCGTACGCAAATGAAATGCGTAAATCGTATTATTCAATTTTGAGAAAGCTTTGTTTAATGTTAAGGTTACATTTCTTTTTCCTTGTACGCTTTGAATACATTTATGAAAGGCTATTAAAAATATTGTCCTGTAAGGCTGTCGTGATTTTCAAATTAGTCTCGAAGTCTATAAGCTAATCCGTAGTCTATAAGCTACCTAAGTTAGTTTCAGACTTTGTATAATACGAATATCCCACCTACGCAATACGGGTTTGAACTAAAAAAGGACTCGATGACTAAGATTTCCTCAAAAATGTTCATCGGATTCGGTTCTAAATAATATGTTTAGTCTGTATCCTGATTTACAAAGAAAAGTTTTAATGACTTGACTTGTGCACTTGCTTAACCCTTAATTTGATTTCGTTAAGTATACTCAACACTCGAATCAAAAAAATATAGTACTATGTTTATGTCGCGGTTTAATTTTTTTTTGTTTTTATATAATTTGTAATTTAGTATTTTTGGTAGAAAAAAATATTTGAACCAGGTGGCAACACTAAATTTGACAGTACCAAGCAAAAATGGCGACCAGGCGAAACACGCTGCGGACTGTGCAGGTAATTTTACATTTTTTTTGTGTTAAGTGTCTAAAAATAATAATTATGACAATTGTTTATATTTCTATAATATATATCTAATGTTTAATCATCATTTTCAATTCTATACGCTATGAGATATAAACACTATAGGTATGTAAACGTGAATGTTGAGTATCATTAACAAAGTTCGGTGGTGTGTAATTGAGTGTGATAAACGTATGTTGAGTATACTCTACAAATTTGCATGGTGGGATATATGATGGCAGTTTTGTTTGTTAAGTCTGCTTAACAATAATAAGGGCTTTGGTGTTCTTATTCTATTTATAATATGCATAGCTTTTTTTCTTTTCACGCAATACTTTAATTTCCACCATATAATATTCCTTTCAGAGCAATATTAACATGTACGTAGGCGGTCCCATAATGAATTGGCCTAACTATGAACCAATGAAGGAAATGAAACGAAACGAATTTTATTTTTCAATATAATCACCATGAATACTAACACACTTCTGACATCTGTGAATCAACATCTCTAAACCTTTATAAAAATAATCACATTTTTTATCCTCAAAATGACTGAAGACGGCCGCCTGCAACTCTTCATCGCTTGAAAATTTTCTTCCTCTTAAGTCCCGCTTTAAATTTGGAAATAAATAATAGTCGGACGGGGCCATGTCTGGACTGTAAGGTGGATGTTGAACTTCTGTGAACCCGCATTGACGAACTGCATCCTTCGAAACACCAGCGGTATGAACAGAGGCGTTGTCATGGAGTAACAGGACACCTTTAGACAGCTTGCCTCTTCGTTTTTCCTTTATCTTGTCTCGTAATTTATATATTAAAGAAGCATAATATTCGCCGTTCACGACTGTATTACGTTCTTTAAAATCCACCATCAAAATGCCTTGAAAATCCCAAAATATTGTGCACATCAGTTTTTTAGTCGATTGTTGCACCTTTGCCTTTCTAGGGGGCTTTTCACCCTTATAACGCCATTCCATTGACTCGCGCTTGCTTTGTGGATCATAATACAAGATCATAGTTTCATCACCAGTCACTAGCCGCTCGATCACAGTCTTTGGTTTTTCGCCACAAAGATCCAAAAACTCCGAAGCGCAGCGCACTCTTTCCTGTCTCTGTACCGCTGAAAGAAGTTTCGGTACCCATCTTGCACTCACTTTTTTCATGTAAAGATGTTCATGGATCACGCAATGAACGGTACTCTTAGAGAGCCCAAGCCTTGCTGCAATTTCTCTAATCTTCAAAGGGCGGTCACTCAGAACCTCCTCTTCGATAAGAGCAATCGTTTCGGGAGTGAGCACTTCCACAGGTCGACCGTCGTGGCCAAAGCCTTCGACGGTTTCTCTCCCGAGGCGAAACTCTTTCACCCAAATTTTCACTATGCTATAAGAGGGGGCAGACTCCTTATACACGCCATCTAATCGTTCTTTTATTTGGGCAGGGGATAAACCTTCTTTAAACAGAAACTTTATGACACTTCGATACTCAGTTTTCGACATTTTGAAAAAATACGCGACTCTCGTTATTCAAATGCCTGTTAAACTAAGACTAAGCATTTCATGTCGATGCATGTTTCTTATATTAAGTGCACGATAAACGTACTATTTAATGCAACACAACATGTAGCGACATGTCGCGTTGGACTATATCAGGCCAGTTCATTATGGGACCGCCTGGTATATTGTGTGCGATAAAATGCTTGCTTTGTTTTTTGCCTGCAAAATAAAATTCTTGTTTCAGAATTTGAGGTCAAAACGTATTTTGGCCCTTGTACCTCAAGAAAACGCTCAATCTGATATAAGTGGGACATCGAACTCTGAGAATGAGCTTGAAGACGAAGTGTACAACTTTCAAAGTCGAGCTTCTGAGTCATCTGAAGCACCATCAATTGACTCTGCTTTAGAACGGCTCGATATAGATTTTTCCGATGACAACTATCCGAATACGGCTCCGACTGATCACACAGGATATGATGAGACTGACAATTATGATGATGACCACCAAGCAAATAACTTTTCACTGACATCCATAAGTTCTTTACCAACACTTTCTCCAATGTCAAACATACCTTCTATGACGCCATCATTTATAATCAACCAAGTAAGTGACTCTCCCCAACAATCTCCATGTAATTCTACTTCAACACCTCTTCCAAATCGTTATACTCGAAAAAGACGCCGTCAGCAAAACTCGATCTCGAAAAGACCTTGTATTGTTACTAAAAATAAGAAAGTCAACCTCAAATTTCAATGGTCAAGCGGACGTTTTCGATTTCGTGCCGAATTAGAACCCGATAAGTTTGAAAGTCCTATACCTGATGGAAAAACAACATTAGATTATTTCAACGACTTTTTTCAGAAGATATGTTCGACGAAATATGTCACTACACAAATATGTATTCCATTCAGAAAACAGGCCGATCAATAAATTTGTCAGGTGCCGAATTGCGCAAATTTATAGCAATTAAAGTCATTACGGGTATCGTGTCCATGCCTTCATATCTGGATTATTGGGCTACTGACACCCGTTTCCCAATGGTTGCGGATGTAATGCCTCTAAAGCGTTATCAAATTATACGGAGATACCTACATTTTGTAGATAATACAGATACTGACTCCGATCCATATTTTAAAATAAGACCAGTAGTGGATAAAATCCGTGCAAACTGCTTGAAAGTAGAAGAAGAGACTAGATTCAGTATAGATGAAATGGTGATTCCATATAAAGGCACCAAAGCTGGGAAAAAAAGACAGTATAACCCGCGCAAGCCACGAAAATGGGGCTTTAAAAATTTGGTGCGAGCAGGTGCATCAGGGATTATTTACGATTTTTTTCTTTATACTGGTAACGATAATTTTGAGGACTGTAACTTTACAAAGGAAGAAGAAGGCTTAGGTTGGGGGGCCAAGGCTGTTTTGAGACTTTGTAAAAGCATAAAGAAAAAACCTTGTGTCGTCTACTTTGACAACTTTTTTTCTTCTTTGGAGCTAATACACCATCTCAGGAATTTCTACGGAATATTTAGTCTTGGTACAATGCGTACAAATCGCCTGAGAGATGCTGGAAAAAAACTGAAACCAGACAAGGTTCTCAAAACTCAGGGTAGAGGGGCTTTTAGTCAAATTGTGTGTAATAAAACCAAACTCTCTGTGGTCAAATGGAACGACAATAAATGTGTCGTACTGGCTTCAAGTTACGCAGACGCATATCCACTAACTAAGGTACGAAGATACTGCAAAATTAGGAAGCAGAGGATTGAGGTACAGTATCCTAATGTTGTTATGCATTATAACGCCCATATGGGCGGCGTCGACCTGTCAGATATGCTGATAGCTTTATATCGCACCGAAATGAAGACCAGGCGCTGGTATCTATCGATTTTTTCGCAATTACTTGACATATGTATTAATAATGCTTGGTTGACTTACCGAAGGGATAATAAAAGAAAGGGAGAGACTAAATATATTCTTTTGAAACAGTTTAGGCTAAGTATCTACAAGGCATTGCTGAAAAAAGGGGACAACTATAGACGCAGCTAATGTACAAGATCTTAATAAAATAAATAAAATAAAAAACCCTACGCGTTCCAGACCAGTAGATGATGCTAGATTCGATAATATCAACCATTTTCCAGAACATGGTAAGGATTATGATCGATGTGCTTATTGCAAAAAAAGGATTTACCACCGTTTTCTGCATGAAATGTAACGTTAGACTTTGCTTTGTTAAAGATCGCAATTGTCATTATAATTACCACCATAGGAAGCCTTAATACTTTTTGTCAATTTGTCAAAATTTTTCGAATAAACATTATTTTTTTATTGAATTATGTTTGATCTTGCAGTACCCTTATTAAGATTTGTTAAGAATACTCAACGATTATAACACTACTTTTTTTCCTGTACATCGAATTTTGTTGAATATACTGAACGTCTGTTTTCCAGGAAACCCTACAATAAATAATTTTATTTAGATTTTTCCCTTACATTTCTAATGTCCAACAGTAAAATATATTCATCTTAGCTTATTGCCATAACTTAGCTTGGCTTGCCAAATTAAGGGTTAAACATCAAGAACGAACAAACAACGTAAGAAATCGCTTATAAGCGGTTTAACAACGCGATGCGTCACTCTCGTTACATATAATAATATGTAATAATACTATTATATGTAAAAAATTAATACTCGTATAATAATATTGGTTAACTATGTTTAAAATAAATGCTTTCTAGTATAGCTTAAATATGTCCCACCTCAAGGCACAGATCTACTCTTATTAGAGATTGCTGTGCTTCGACTTCACTTGTTCTGTGTTACCTTTTACTTATTTCTAACCGATTTAGGACAATAATTTGATTTATTTGCACGTATTACATTATTGTAATATCTAATAAACATAACGTAACGTATCTATATTTTTTGCCGCAAGCGGTATCGTTGTATTATGGTGGTACCATTTTGTGAGAAAACAAACAACATTTTTGATCTCAAACTAAACGAACTCGCATTATTCGCAATTATTTCCATTCGTAGGCAATGTGATACGAAATGAGCGGCGCGATATTACCTACATAGAAAACTCATTATGAATTCCCTCATCATCTCCTGAGGTAAGCTTTATGCAAATTGTATAATGCTACAATACGAATATGGAATACGATAGTCTGAATTTCGAAGTCTGTTTATACGATGCCGATTAAGACTTAAGTTATTGTCCACCTTGATATGGATACAAGTGACATTACAGAAGGAATTGCGTCGTAATATAAGCTTTCCGGACTGTAATTACTATTGTGATACAATTGTCGGCACTCAGTGAAGATCCTTTTTTCTGAGGCGTTCCACTATTTGTTCCCTTTATTATTAATTTTATCTCTGGTAATGTCGTGCTGTGATTTAAAGTTCTCTGACTGGCCGTTTTCAGATTTTGTCGCTAATAACTGTGATAAAGATAACGATGATGAAGTTATCGGTGGTAGATCAAGAATTGAATCTACTATTTATTTAAAATCTTGAGATGTTAATTAAGGTTAAAACAATATCTTACGCTTGGAAAACAAAATCAACTGGCTGTGATGAAATGTAAACCGATATCTTCGAGTATGATTGATTATAATATATTATTTTTTGTGGTTTAAATCACTTGAAACTGAATTTTTTTCTAATCAATTAAAATGATCCGTTAGCATCTCGTCATTTTCGTCCATGAAAATTAAACAAAAATATAGATAGATAACAGAGAAAATATCAATTTTATATTAGCATGGCTTTACCTCCCTCTCTCTCCTCTCCCGGGCCTTTCGAAACACTCTAGATAATCTCCTGTGGCAAACAGTGGCGATACCATAACTTAACCGTGTTGCTGCATTTGGCATGGAACTCTGCAAAATTATATTTTTAATCGCAAAAGTAATCCATGGCGTTTGGAGAGGATGCAACGAACGAACATACTGTGCATTTTTGATTTAATTTCTTTCGCAGTGTAAACTTCAGCATGAAGAATAAATCATACAAAAGACCAGACATTAAGGAAACTTATTTTTAATATTTTAATTTTGCTATCAGTCACCTGCTTTTTAATTCATAAAAACAGTTTTCACCTGACTTCCGCTTAAAAGCGATCGTGAAGCGCTAATACTAAAGAAGGGCTTGTAACAAGCCAGTAACATCAAAATACCTACATGACCGTGTCGAAAATTAAACGGCCTATTAAAAAGTCATAAATTTGACCATAAACAAGATTAACGTCATCACTTTACATGTCGTATCGTTCGTCCGTATTTAATCCGGTCGTTAGGTTACATCATAACCAGCTCAAGCACATCAGTCAACAAACGACTCCTGCCTGCACGCCATTCATGCGCCCACGGTAGGTCGCATTCCGATATACAATCGCGGTATGTCGCGGCGTCCAATTCTTCCTTCCTTTAAAGTCGCTTTCGAGACGGATAATATTTCCCCAAACACTGCGGTGATGAAAAAGTGAAATGTAACGAACGTGTTGAAAATATTTTGTATAGTCGCAGTACCAAGTAGTGCTATGTTTTATAGTATTAGTCCTTAATTTAGATTATAAGGGATATATATATCTTTTTTTATTAATCTTCTTTTATATAAGTTATATCTATAAAAATATTGTATCTTGTAATTCTTGTATATAAAAGATACATATAATACAAATACATAACAGATAAAAATACAAACTTGAAAACTGACTTCAAAACCTAAAAGAAATCATCCACATATTGCTGCTGAAGTCACACTTTTGCCCAAATACTACACAACAATTTTATTTAAGTTTGAGTATTTGGACAGTAGTTTGCATCGACTTCAGAGGCTTTTATGAGGAATATATTTGTATACCCTTTTGAGTGGTCTAAGTATTATCATAAATTAAAAAAAAAAAATAACTAGAATGTCGGTTAAATATGGTTAAAATCTTTATTCCCTGTTTTTCGACCACCGTAATAGATTTTTTCTTTGAATTTATACGGGACCACTTATGAACTATGGTTGTACTTCAGGAGTGGTGATTTAATAAAAAAAGTAATAATTTTAAGAGGTTCAGCCGTTTTAGAAGCTCTAGTCTAAGTCTCATTTTTGAACTCCGTTAGTTAGAAAGTTAGAATTAATAATTTACGACTTTACCAATAAAAAACTGAGCCGTCAGCCTTTGATTATATACCTGTCTATGTGTATCAAAGCCGTCAGCACAATTTTAATTTCAAGTACAACTGAAAAATTATGTCTGTGTGTAGGTATCTTTTGTTTTATTATTTTCTAATTCCAGCTGGTTTATTATTCGGTATATTGCATTTTCTTGGAAATTTCAATATGAAATCCACGAAATATATTAGGGACTAAAGTATAAAATAGCTGAAACAGCCATTTTACAGAGAAGTTCACTTAAAAAAAAACATTTTTATGAAGAAAAATGTTTTTTTTAATCAATGTATTATTTACCCTCCATATCATTATAACAATCATGAGACTAGATCGTTTGTCTTTGCGATAGGACTCTAGAAATCGGACTCTAGAAATCGGACTCTAGAAATCTGGACTCTAAAAAGTTTATGAAGGCATTTTGTACAGCTTACGGAGAATAACCAAATATTGAATATAAATTTTTCAAATAGCGAAAAAAATGGTTACCGATTTTGGATAGGACTGGCGAGCAAGGATGATGACGTACGAGTATGGTTTCTAACTGCACGTCTTGTAATGTGAAAACGGTTTGTTGAGCAGTGGGAGGTTTTGTGTTATCATTGAACAATGATGGCGAAGATCGAAAGATCGATTAAGGTGTCGAGGTAATTCGTCACTTTCATCATCGTCATCATCAACATCTGCTGTTATTGATACAGCAGATCTCAAAAAGCTACAGTGAATTACACCATCAAGTGTCGGTCGCTTTGTGATTAATTCAACCGTTATCATTACTTTTCTATGCGTATTGCGATTGTCGTAGTGAATCGCTTCATTTATGTACCTACTCATCAAAGCTATGCATCTTCTATACGCACTTCAGTTAATTTGTGGCATTTATTTTTTGAGTTTTTTTTTAAATATTTTACCAATTTGTGTTGATATTGTGGGCAAACTAACGTCAAACCTTGGCGCTAACTCTTTGGTTTTTTGATAAGGATCGGCTTTACCATTAATTACGTCTTCGTTATTTTCCTTGGTGTCTGATCTTTCTCATCTTTTATTTTTTATTTTATAGTGTATTAAACCAAAAACGCACAATACGTTCGTTAGTCGCATCTTTTCCCGTTATCATATTTTTAAAAGTTTACCATATTCTGTCTGTAGAGTTTACTACTCCCTGGTAAACTGTCTTTTGGGATTAAACTTTTTTTAATAAAAAGGTTCTTATAAATAAAAATTTTATATATGAAGCGACTAACGAACTTATGCATTTGATCTTAAGTTGTCCCGCAGGGATTTTCTTTTCTATCACGAAAAATTACAAAATATGTTTCGTGAAAGAATTTAATTCAAGGCGGCGTCTCCGCAAGTCCGCAAGCACTAACTAAACACTTACTACTGAGCTTCTTCGTTGTCGATATATTATATGATGGGCCTTGTAATAGATAAGATATTTTATACATCTTACTTTAAAGATATACTGTTGATACATCTAACTAATCTTAATATATATATTACGTGTCACGTTGTTTGTCCGCGATGGACTCCTAAACTACTTAACCAATTTTGATCAAATTTGCACACCGTGTGCAGTTTGGTCCAACTTGAGAGATAGGATAGTTTTTTTGCCCATGAGTGACACACATATTTTTTGCGAATTTAAGGATTTTTAATAGGACATGACAAAGGATCGTCGAAAAGGGCAGAACAACGTCTGCCTAGTAAGCTAGTATTCGTATATTTTAAAACAACAAGAGTAATAAGAATCGGTTAAAAAGTTTCCAAAATCATAATTCAAACAAGCCATTGTCCTGACCGCCATTCACTCGTCCTCGTCAAAAACTGGCAACACTACTGACAGGTGTGTTCCCGATCCCGTCTTGCCCCTTTTTTGTAATGTCCTTTCCCGTTTCTAATTACTAATAACCTTAACTGCCGAAATTTGTATAATCCATTTTGAGTTTTGCTTCTCATTATTAAGGTTCGAAATAACATATAGAAGATTTCAAATATCACGGGAGTACTAACAATGAATGGATCATTTCCCTTACGATATTTTACAACGGTTTTAAGTCATAGTTAATGAATTTTAAACTTAACAGTAAAGGATTTACATTTCATTTTACTTTACGTTTTGAAGAATGTCGCATATCGGCTATAATTGTGTTAAGTTGGTTTTAATTTATTTTGGGACACAAAATCGTACACTGCCATTGTGAGAACCTTGGAAGAGTACTTTATACACGCTTTGAACGCTTTACGTTTGCGAATGGACGTTGAGAGAAGTTCGATAAGCTGTAATAAAAATACTACTATACACATTTATTTTTAATATTTCGTACAGAGTTTAGTGTAGTCCTAAGTCCTGCCTAATGACCATTTCAAATCCCCTAGACAAAACCGTTTCCAAGAATGCGTCAGCAAAGCATTTCTTAAAAGATATTCTTGAACGCACCACTCAAGCCAAGTGAGTTGGTGAATGGTCGGGTAGATTGGACGAATGCTTAAGTGTTAGCGCGCACCCTAATGGCACTATTAAACTCCTGCTGAGTTGATGATTTCCAACTTATTCTGAAGTTGTCGACATTATCTACTGATCGGCATGAGATCAGATCGGCCAGAAAGAGCTTATCCCATAGTTATAAATATCTGTCGATACTCACAGGTCAAAATGGGGTGATCGATTCCCTGCCGCCGTCATACGGCGTAAAAGAATCTAAAATTAGTGAATGACAAAGGATTTCACCTCATGGCAAGTGACTACTGTCTCCTTACTGTAAGCTAATAAAGATACATTGTCGATTTATTTAATTATGGTAGCTTTCTTACGCTTCAGAGCGGGTGCACTGCTGCTTGCTGCCATGAATAGTTGTAAGTTATAACGCATAACGGCATTATAACGCAGACGGACTTCTAGTACTCGTTATATTTTTCTTTATAAATGTAAGTAAATGTGCAACGGTAAGTTTGAAATTTGAAGTGAGAAATAGAAATATGGACCAGTCAATATGAGAATAAGAGATCTATGTATAAAACAAATACATTCGCTGTGTTCCCATGCCAAGTTTCAAGGTCTAACGATCAATTTCTACGCTTCACACGCTTTAATTATATCTCAGTCGATATTGGATTCTTCTCACGTGCATGAAGTAAAAGTGCCTTTGTTAATTGATTAGTAAGCGACCGTTACTGGGTTTAAATTTTGTTTTATTGCGAATTATTTTGTCCAAAATTGGTTTTCATAATAATTGTTATTACAAAATGTATTTCAATGTATAATTGTAAAAACTAAATAAAAATATAATTGTATAATGTAGTTCACATACTTATTATAATCAAATCAATCAACAATGACAAATACGATGAAC